TGATCTTCTGGTGATTGGTGGAGGGTCTGGAGGCCTTGCGTGTGCAAAAGAAGGTTTGTATGTGTAAATAACAAGAGTTTTGTTTTAGCTTAAGTAGTGTTTATGAAAACTAAGAGAAGTGTTACTGGTAATGCTAAAGCTTTTTAATAAACGCATTATTCTTCAGTCCCTGCATGTTAATCATTAACTCAGCTCCACAGTTAATCTACAAATTAGTTCACACCCTTGGGTGGTCTTGTTTGTCTTTCCTGTTAACCTTTAAAAAAATATTTCTTCTTTTGTCACGGGAAGATATAACAAGCTTTTATTTGACTGTTATTGCAAAATACTCTGAGTGCCTCCAAGATACTGTATTTTTTAACTGTACTGTTTCTTATTTATGTGTTAAAACAACGGTCTCTTCAGACTGTTTCCAGGATTGTTTAACTGCTGTAGAGAGCCCTGCCCTCTTTGTTACTCAATGTAAGGCGCTCAAGAACCCACAGGTTCCTTAAACGTCTCATTTGGGGTCAAACTGCATTTTGGGGGTTGGTGGAAGCTGCAGGCTCTCGTCTGGGTTGTTAAGTGCCTTCTGGAGAATCTGCTGACTACATAGGCAGCCTGGGTCCCTCATCTGGCATCTCAAGTTAGACAGTAAAAACCAGCAGCTGTCATCTCCTATACTCTCTGTCTGTACCTGTGCTACTAAAAATACTTAGGTTTGTGTGGTTTTCCCTCTTCTGAATATCTTGTCTTGCTTTTTTTTTAAAGCTGCTCAGTTTGGAAGGAAAGTGGCTGTTTTGGATTATGTGGAACCTTCTCCACAAGGTATGGAAGAGAAATACTAGGATAATATTTGGAAATGTGTATAAGACGATTGCCTAGGTGAACATATTGCTCCAGGCAGCAAAGTGGCCAAAGCCAGCCTGCTTGATTAGCTTTTAGTAGAAGTCCTTAAGCATAGGATTGTACTGCTCATTCCTTCCAGTGATGTCCCAGCTCTGCCTGCATCCCCTGCACATTAAGATTGTTAGCAGTGTTTGATATTACCACGTGTAGTAGACTTTGGACTTAAATATGTAAGAATATTCTGTCAAAGTGTCATTTATGATTTCTAAAAACTATAAATTTTGTCATGTTGAGGCTGTTCATGTACAATATGTAAAATAAGATCTGCAAATCATAGAATCATAGAATAGTTAGGGTTGGAAAGGACCTTAAGATCATCTAGTTCCAACCCCCCTGCCATGAGCAGGGACACCACACACTAAACTATGTCGCCCAAGGCTCTGTCCAATCTGGCCTTGAAATCCAGCAGGGTTGGAGCATTCACAACTTCTTTGGGCAACCCATTCCAGTGCCTCACCACCCTCACTGTGAAAAACTTCTTCCTTATATCTAATCTAAACTTCCCCTGTTTAAATTTAAAGCCGTTACCCCTTGTTCTACCACTACAGTCCCTAATGAAGTCCCTCCCCAGCATCCTTGTAGACCCTCTTCAGATATTGTGAATGTGTAGTAACTGGATCTTCAGAGCTCTGAAAAACATCTTGAGACGCTTTGAATTTTAGAAGAAAACAAATGAACACAAGCAGAGTTAGGAACTGATTTGTAGGAGATAATAAACTGTATGTTGTTTCAGAACTTTTTAACTAATTGCATGAACAACCTAATTCTAAGTAACCCAACTACATTAAGTTACACTAACCTGATGCATTTACTTTTCCTTTCTTTTTTTTTTTTATTTCCAAGGAACCAAATGGGGACTTGGTGGAACTTGTGTGAATGTTGGCTGCATTCCTAAAAAGCTTATGCATCAAGCAGCCCTTTTAAGGGGTGCCCTTAAAGATGCCCAACACTATGGCTGGAATATAACCCAACCTGTTCATCATACCTGGTAAAGATTATTGCCCATATCCACTCCTATGTGCTGCAAATGCATAACAACTTTTTCCAGTTGGTGTTTACTTAGGGACAGTTAAGTAAATTAATTTTGCATGAAGCTTTTTAGACTGCTCCTTGTTTAAAACACAAGTCTGTATTTACTGGTTTATCAGGGCAGGTATGTGACTTGGATTTGATAATTTACTTTTATAACAAAAAGTACTATGGAGCATTCTTAATATCTAGCAATTGCATAACCTGAATTTGTGACACCACGACTTCATGTTCAATTTCTTGTTTTGTGATAGGTCTGTGATGGCACAAGCTGTTCAGAATTACGTGAAATCCTTGAACTGGGGACACAGAGTGCAACTACAAGACAAGTAAATAAAACTTTCAAGTTCCTATTTCTTCTCATAGGAAGGAGCTGCTCTTCTCTTTGTAGAATTGCTGAGTTGCCTTTGGAGTTTCTCATTAGAGCTAGTATTTTTTTCTGGGCAATAGTGGTTGGAAGTTACCATAAAGCTTTCTAACAACAGTTTAGTGATCACGGAATGCTCTCTTTAATCTGAAGAGGGTTTGCATTAATATGAAGCAGTCAGAATTTTTTCAAGGTAATTTCAAGCTTGTCCATGAAAATTTATGTGTCATACAAGCCCACAGATACCACTATACCAGAGCAGCTGGGGATTTTTTCTTTCACTGCAGAAAGCTTTTCAGCAAGCATTTCCTTTTATAGAGAAATTATTAATCTAATAGTATATTAATTTGACAGGTACTAGTCTTGTGACTGCTGCTGAGTCACTACTGTATGCTCTCAAATGAGCATTATGTTAGTAATGTTATAGATACCAATGCTACGGCTTGTGGAAAATGTATCATTTGAAGAGGTCAGTAACCTGATCCGAAAGCATGTTGTGAGGTTAGGTACTCTGCTGTGTGGAGGAGTTAACCATGATACAAGAATTAAGTGGCAAATTATGTGACAGAGCTGCAAACAATCCTATGAAATAAGATGCTTGCTTCCTTTTACTTTTCTTGCCAGTTTGCTATCTTTCTTAGCACTTCAGATGTGGAAAAAGTAGCTGATTGTATTTCGTTCACATTCATTGTTAAGTGTGCATTTATGTTGCTGTTTTCTTCTAAACAGGAAGGTGAAATATTTCAACATGAAAGGAAGTTTTTCTGATGCGCATACAATCCGTGGTTTAACAAAAGCAGGTAAAGAGGTGAGGTGCTGTGCTGTGAACGAGTATCATTCACTTCAAATAGTTCATGTCTTCATGTGTTGGGTTTCAGATCAATGGGGAGCTAGACTGTACTTTTACAAATTGTTTTAGGTATTGAATATTGTTATGGTGTGGCAGGTTTGTATTTTCCACCAGGAGCACTGTTTATGAACTTGTCTGTTGCCTGCTGAGTCCTGAGCTTCTAACCTGTGAGATGCCATTACTTTTTCTCTGCAGGTGGAAATACTGAGACAAAATACTATTTTCTTTTTTTTTGGTCAGAGTCCTACTGCTTTGGTAGATGCTTACAGATTTGTGAATAGGACTATCATCTACTTACGGCTCTGAGCATTAGATCAGCCTCAGATGTTTTTCTTCTTTGGCTGTATTGTAAGCTTTCTAATACAAAACTGTGTGCGGGAGGCAATTATACCAAATGCCCAGCTTCAAGCAACTGGGTCGCCTAACAGAATGGTGCTCATTTCTGCAAGAGACTGAAAGTGCATTTTAGCACCTTTTTGAGGGGAATTATATACTGTTACTGGTTAATACCAGCTTGAGAGAGCAGGTTTTTTTGGGTAGATGCCTAGCACTTCTGAGAACATGCTGCTTTGGAGGTAGCTTAACTCCAGGCCCTAGAGAGAGAATTCACTTGCTGTGATCTCTGTGTGTTCTGTCCTAAGCAAAAATTGATTTAAAAAAGCTGCCATTTCTGCACAACTGTTGCTTCCAAGTGGTCATCAGAATCTTGCCCAGTGTAGGAACAATTGCAAACCAATATTAAACCAAAAACTGATACAGAATGTGCAGGAGAAACACCTGCATGTATTAGTTTATATTCTAGTTATTAGATTATTATTACGGAGTTTAGTTTATCCTTTTTTAGTGCATTGCTGATTATTATGTCTTATAAATAGCATGTGATAGTGCCAGCTTCTCATTTAGCACTCTTGTACATACATAAAATATAAAGGCAGATAAAATTATTTCAAATGTTTGATTTTTATTTTTTATGTTTGTTCGTAGACTATTGTTACTGCAGAAAATATTGTCATTGCTACTGGAGGAAGACCAAAGTATCCTACACATGTAAGTTACTCTTGCCATCTAACAAATCCAATGGCTTTACTGGTTTTGTTGCAGATGATAATGAATATTTACAGGATAAAGAATGTAATTATAAAGTAAGACATGAGAGATTTTTGAACTTGTGTGAAAAATTGTCTTTTATATAAAGGCAAGGCTTTTCAGAAAAACATTTCCATAGAAAACAATTTGCATCAGTTTAAGTATATTGATCTTGCTTAGAGCTGCAGGATAATTCAGGTTGGAATGGATCTCTAGAGGTCATCTAGTTCAACCTTCTGCTCAAGGAGGTTGGGGTCAGCTATTGAGTGAGCTGTAAGGTCAGATCATGCTTAGGGCTTTTTGCAGTCAGGTTTTGAAAATTTCCAAAGATGAAGACTGGATATCTGGGCAACCCCAGATTTATTCCCCTTGGTCTACTGGCCATACTTCAGTCCAAGTTGCTATTAGCTTTATTTGCTGCCAGGACTTGCATTGTAGATTCAAGATCTTACCTGTGTGATCACAGATTGCAGGTGCACTGGAGTATGGAATCACAAGTGATGATTTGTTCTGGTTAAAAGAATCTCCTGGAAAAACGTAAGTTACCTTACCATGGGCTTTACAGATGCTGGTGTTTGTACTTTTTCTTCATGGCAAGGTGAAAAATGTTTGAAATTGCCTTTTATACACCAGTTTTTCTGTCCCTCTCTTTTCTTTCTGAAAATTTGTTTTGCTATGCGTCAACATCATATTGCCAAACTTCATTAGTAACTAATTAGTGCCCACCACCACCACCACCACCACCCCCTTCGAAAATTCCCTTCTAAAATCAAATTAAGTATGAACTTTCATCAGCTTGGGTTAAGGCAACTTGTTTGCTGTAGCAATTATACGTGGAAGTCACAAGAGGGCAGCATAAACTTAAACGATGGCTGTGCTGTCTCTGTTCCTTGCTACGGGTCTGTATGACATCGCTCTTCAATTAGGAAAGAAACTCCAGCACTCTTAACTGGTGGCAGTTCTGATAACAAAAGAAAATATGAGGAGACAATTGGGTTACTTTTGCCTTTTCTTATGCCTTGGGAGCTACTGTTTAACTGAAATACTAAACAATAGTTTTTAATGGAAATATTAAAATGCCATAGTCTTTGTTTCTCACAGCACATAGTACAGTAAGATTCTGAGTCAACATTGCACTACAGGACAATTTCCTGATGCAAATAATTGTGATAGGAATTACACATTTGCTAGCATGGAAGTCAGATAGTACTTTTTCCCCCCCTTTTCTCTATTGATCAATTCTAGAAAAAACAAAGTATATATAAGAAAGAGAACTGAAACTGTTATACTGATGTTTTGAAAGAAAACAAAGCTACCATTCATGGCTGTGACTTTCTAATATAAAAAATGCACTGTGTTAAGCTAAACATCAAATAGATAAACAAGGCTCCTTGGTGCAGTTTGAAAAGGAAAGTAAATTTGCTGTTGTTTGTAGTCTATCAGTCACCTCTTGAATTTTGAGAGCGTGATTTATGTGAGGAATTTAAAAAAAACTCAAACCAAAACACAAAACACCAAAACCCCCACAAAAACTAAACATAAGATTTATCCCTGTAAGATGTTTCTGTGAAAATGTGGCTTTTGTCCAGTTGCTGCTAATGCAAGTTGTAACAGTGTAATGTGGGAGTCTAGTGTTTATATGTTGCATTCCTGAGATTTAGTCAAAATAAGCCTGCAGGGGCTACAGTAGCATTTCTGTGCTTTATCAGGCTGTGTCCTAGCAAATGAAGGAGGGAGTTGTTGAAGGTTTGTTTCTGTCAGATTTGTTTCTATTATAAATATTCCCAAGGTTCAGTTTAACACCTTTTGTTTTTAGTCTGAGCTCTGTTGTACTTACTCTTTCTTTTCTTCCTCTCCAAATGGACATATCTCAGCTACAAATTACATGCCTGGGGGTTATAGAACTGTCAGTCCTGCAGTTATTCATATTAAAAAGAAAGCAAACCATTAACCAACTTAAAAGTCCCTTAGATATACAAACAGTGTGAAGAAATTCTCGCTACTGAGATGAAGGCTTTTGGTAGAGTGAATAAGAAAAGATGCCTTGAAATATATTCAGAATGAATGAGAGATTGAGCAGGTGTGAAGGAGGTTATGTTCTGCTTTCTTAACTTTACTATTAGACACTGAAAATGCCCAGGAACCCTCTACTCTGTAGAAGAAATTGTGAATAATGTGGTGCTGATACTATGAATGAGTGCCAGCTGGCATCCAGTTATCATCTAATGAGAAAGAAGAGCAAACATATGTCCAAATTACAGATATTCTCATTCTATTCCCTGTTAATCTTCGCTAGATAGTTCTTTATAGGCAGCATGTGGCTTTTTGCAGCACTTCCCAGGAGCTACATGCTAAAAGAGAGGGTGCTCATCCATTCGCAGATGAATCAGATGCTCTTTTAAATGCTGGTGGAAAAATGTATTTCCTACTATGTTAAATTGTTTGCCAAATGTAAAATCCAGACCAGCAGATTTTAATCTCTTTAGTTCAACTTGTTCTCTGTACACCTTCAGAAATTGTATGTTTTTATTATAGGATAGATAGATGTTATCTAGGGTCTTCTGTGAGAAAACGTGTTATACTGACTCTGCAATCCCTGGGGCTTACAGAGCAGCAACCCCCATGTCTGCACTGCAGTTCTCAGAAGTTTAAAAGCACCTCTGTTATAATTAGGAAGTGGTGCAGGTTCGTTTAGGGTAAGATATAGGCCACAAGCCGGTGTTTCGTCTACTATTTTTGTTCTGCTGTCAGCACAGGATAGACTGTGTATGAAGAGGTTTCTAAGTATTTGACTTGTGTCTGTCTTGCAGTGTTGTAGAAGAATAACTTTCCTAGGGATGTGTGGCTAGTCAGTGGCAGGGCTAAAACAAGAAGTCAAATTAGCTGCCTGCAGAGCTCCATTGTGCCTCTAACATTTGCTTTTAGTTGCTATACGTGTTCACATATAAAATATTTGAATTTTCTAAGGTTCTTGATGTTCTTCTATGAAATAGATTTCTGTCTATTTGAGCATATATACGAGCAGTTTTCCTGGTAACAGGGTGGAGCAAGGATCATTGTTTTGTAAATTTGAGTTAAAATTGGTGAATGATACCTCCTCATAAAGGGACTGCAATGAATGCACCACTTTATGTTAGCCTTCAGTTTGTGTGTGTTTTCCATGGATTTAAGGGTTTATGTTTATTTTGTGGAGCACCACACTAGTGTATGCTACTTCAGCCAGGAATCAAGCAAAACACAGAATACAGAACTGTGTGGGATGTGTAGGCCACAGTTTGATACTTCCCATTTGTTCCTCCTTGTGATTTTGAGTTTGTATTTTGATACTTAAGTAGATTTCTAAATTCAAGTAAATGTTTAAAATGTCTCGCTTTCCAAAACACAGTTAGCAAACTACTTCTTCCATACGCCGAAATCCAAAGTTCTTTTTTTAACTTTTGAATATGGCTTTTAGAGAGACCTTTTTTTAAAAAAAAAAAAAACCAAAAAAACCCCAAAGTAAACAGAAAAAATGTGCCAAACATTGAGGTGAGTCCTGTAATGGTGCTTTTTTTCCTAGTTCAATGTAACAAAAGACTTTGTTGTAAATGGAAATATTATGTGGAATGCATCTCCAAACTGTGAGATTTTAATAAGACTGCATAACACATGAAAAGGAAAGAAACGTAAGTGCAGCATGTCTGGCAGCTGAGTGTCAGTTTTCTTAAAAATAATTAAAAATATGTATTTAATAAATAAGATACCTCCAGAAATTTTGAGATACAATGAAGTTCAGCAAGACTGCTGCACATCTCTTTGTTTATATGTTGCCCACTGTCTTGGAGGCAATGGTGCTGAGGTGCTGTAAAGGTGAGGCATCAGCAGCAACAGGCACTGTGTGAAAAACCTGTCAATGTCCACTCCAGATGTTTCCAGCAAAGCAATTGAAATATTTGTGATACTTCTTAACCTTGCTGGTTTCTCTTGAGTTGTTCATGGCTTTCTTCACTTTGTCTTTCAGAGTATGTGTTTAAATACCTCGTTACAATATAAAACCAATTCTCTATGTCTTAAAATCCTGTTATGTTTTTTATCCTGTTAACAAAATAAGCCCACATGTTATAGCACTGTCTTTGTTGGAGTGGACAAGCCCTGCTCTTTCTTTCCAATACCACCACTAAATCCACTCCTCAAACCTGTAGTTTTGTAGCTACACATACTTCAGAAAATTATTTTTTTGATTTTGCAGAGATATGCAAAAGCTCATTTCACTGCTTTATTCTTTTTTTCTTTTCTTGTAACAGGTTGGTTGTCGGAGCCAGCTGTATCCTTTGAAAAAGCTGTGATGATTTATGATTATAAGCAGCATAGCTGTCCTTCCTATGAAAGCTCAGGTTTCAGAATTCCTTTGCTCATGCCACGTAGATGAGTTGGTAATAGAATAGTAATAGTTTTCTATTCAGTAACATCATGGGAATTAAGGTCAACTGAGGATAAATTCTCAGGATCTTAAACCAATGTCATCTATGAGGAAAATATTCTAAGGCTTTGGAGTTTTATTCTATGCAAAAAAAGCAAGCTGAAGATGTCTGAGAGAGGAGAACTTGCTATCTCTAGGTAAAAAGCCCACTTAGTATACACTACCCTTTTATGTTGCATTGAGATGAAATTGTTGTTTCTATTTATTTCCTTAACTGATGCTTCACTAGATGTTTCACTTGAGTGTGCTGGTTTTTTAACGGGCATTGGATTGGACACTACAGTCATGATGAGAAGTATCCCACTTCGTGGGTTTGATCAGGTGAGTAAGGAATATCTTGCATCTCCTTATGTAGCAAATATATTAAAAAGTATAATTGATTATTTTTGTTTCCTAAAGAAAAAGTGTCTCCAGACATTTCCTAGTATGTGCTTTCTGAAGAGAAACTGTGTAAATTTTAGCTCTTGTTTTCCAGTCATCTCTCTTGATACTGTACTCAGAAGAGTAAATATGTTTTTTTCTTTATTTTTTTTCTCTCCCACCTAGTTGATAACAAGATTGAAAATGTTGGGAAGCAAGGGAGGGGTTAATGGCACTACTAAAAAAATACTAGACAATCTCTTTACTCCTGAATTTCTAGGAGTTTCAGATATTTAACATGTAGTTCAATGTGGAGTTCATTATTATGAATATAAATAAATCACTAAGATGAAAGTTTGTAATGACAAAATTGAATTGAAAATCTTGACCACCTTCAAAACAGTGGTAGTTATAACAGGTAAAACAAGTATATAGTGATTTCAGTGGAACTATCAACCCTAAGCTGGAGAAAATTAAAACCAAAAACTTTCAGGCAGGGAAATTTAAAGAGAAAAAAGCATTTCACAATTTGGAAAGGTTTTGAGGAGTTTTATTTAAAAGTATAAATGGTCATGATTGTGTTGACAAAACAGAAAAGAGTTTTGGCCAGAAATCCGTTCCTGTATAAAGAGAATAAAAGCAATAAAATGAGGGGTAATAGGTTTAAACTTAAACAGGGGAAGTTTAGATTAGATATAAGGAAGAAGTTCTTTACAGTGAGGGTGGTGAGGCACTGGAATGGGTTGCCAAAGGAAGTCATGAATGCTCCAACCCTGGCAGTTTTCAAGGCCAGGTTGTACAGAACCCTGGGTGACATAGTTTAGTGCGAGGTGTCCCTGCTCGTGGCAGGGGGGTTGGAACTAGATGATCTTAAGGTCCTTTCCAACCCAAACCATTCTATGATTCTGTGATTCTATAATTACAAATAACATCAAGAAAAGGCAATGACAAAGAAGGTTTTGTATAGGATTTGTGTAAAAAGCGTATCTGCTTAAAGAAGTAATAGAAGGTAATATAGCAGGTTTAGGTTAAAGATAAATTACTGGATGCAAGGTTGTAGCCTCTGGTCTCCAGGTTAGAGGATCTCTTTGATGGCCTGCTAGTCCTTCTGGTGCCTAGATCTGTAGGGAGAGTATGGTAAAGGTGATTGTGAATCTTCTGTCCCTCCAAGATTTGATGTTAACACTACTTTGAAGGAAAAGTTTCTATCGTGTTCTTAAAATGCAGAGAGTTCTGGGGTTTCACTCACCAATGCAGTGAACTTTTTCCTTGAAGTTTCCAACAATTTTTTTTCTCAAATCGCTTTGGCAAATGTCAGCTTCAAGAATGAAGACTGTCCCCTTGGAAATAGTATTTTTAGAATGGGAATGAATGTATGTTAACTTGGTGTCATGAATTAGATTTTTTTTTTTTAAATGCTTAATTGCAATAGTGCAAAACATTTACAGACCAAAGTTGATGAAAGTGTGATAGAATAATGGCCTTGTTTTTAAGAACTTCTTTGCACACAGAGTGTGTAGGAAAATCATTCTCATGTGTAACAGCAGAGTTTTTGAGGAGGGTATATTGCTGTTAGAAGGAGCAGTGACAAGTACCACTGCAGGTAGTGACAGCTCCTGGTTGCATGCCAGCTACTCCCACTTTGAAGTGGCTTCCTTAAAACTAGTGGCATGTGTACCAGAGTTTGCAAAACATTGTGTAAGAACGTGTGTTGGGATTTGCACTCGTCACTGAAGGAATCTACACCTGTAACTGCATGAGATCTAAGCAAGCAGGGAATAGTGTTAAGAGTGTGTGTGTGGCACTTCATAAAACACAGTAGGGCTGTCTCTGAGAACTCAATCCTTTGTAGGCAGGAAGAGCACAATGGACATTTCAAGGTTAAGAAAGCATTAATAGAGATAAAACAATTATATTCAGTTTGTAGTCACATTGAGTCTGATGGAAACTGGTTAGTGATCACTATATAGTGAGCTGTCATGTTTCTGAGGAGACAGAACTCTGCTGTTGCCATCATATGGGTTAATACCAGCTTCCAAAATAAAGTTTTGTAAGCTGAGAGCTTGCATGTAGTTGTTCGTGTGAGTGGCTTTGTGATAATATCCTTTAAGTAATAAACATATCCTTTGACAAAGTGCAACCTGAATTACAACAGAACCATTCAAATATCCAAAAAGCAATGACATCTTTGGATAAACCTGTCAATGCACCACTTCACTGCTTGACTGTGGTGTGGCATTATTTCAAACAGGCTCTTAGGACAAAAGTATTATTTCCTTTTTGTAGTAGAACTTTCCAGGAAACCTTAGTGATTCATAGTCATTGCAGAGAAGTGACAGGTGTCATGGCAAAGGGAAATATTTTTCTTCCTTAGCTTTATGGAAGTATTTAATTCTCATTGAGCTGCCAGAAGATGGTAATTATGGTAATGTTAAACTGAATGTGCTCTAGATGCCTTTTTGTATAAGCAACAAATGAATTAAAAGCAACTGGTTTATTCACTCATTATCTTTCTTAAAAAAACAATTTGAATATTCAGTTGTAAGTCCCTCTTGGAATGGAGTTGCAGGTCATAGTAGCTCAATAAATTGTGTTGACAACACAGAGTAACTGAGTGACAAAGAAGGTTGAAATGTGCGGTGTATTTACTGTGTTTTCATGAAGACAGCTGAAGGAGTGTTTTACATTAAAAAGGTTGTATGACTGTGTATCTAAGAATAACTTTCTTTTTTCCCCTATCAACAGCAAATGGCATCTTTAGTAACTGAGCACATGGAATCTTACGGCACAAAATTTTTAAAGAGATGTTTCCCAACCAAAGTTGAAAAATTGAAGGGCAACAGATTGCAAGTGACCTGGAAAAATACCGACCTGGGCACAGAAGAAACCAATTGCTTTGACACGGTCATGTGGGCAGTAGGTAAATTTGATTATCTTAACATTTCTTTGCAATGCTTTCCATTCTGCAAATTAAGTCCCCTCATCATGTTGTACTGGACCTCCCTTTTTCTATATATATTAAATATATAGTGACATAAACATTGACAGTTTTTTAATTCTTTTCTTGCATGCCTGACTTCTTCACTTCCAGTCTAAAAACACATGAAAGTTACAGTGGATGGAAGAAATCCGTGGCAACTACTTTTGCATGAGCTGCAATAAATGGCAGACCATTTAGCCTTCCTTACATTCACTAGAGGGTGAGAGCATGAATTCCAGCAGCCTCTGTGATGTAGATAGTGTTCTCTAAGTCCACGCTCTTGATTTATTCATGAAGCTATTTGCTGTAAGTTCCTATTTATCCTGTTCAAGAGGCTTCCATTTCTTCTAGGATATTTTCTAAACTGTACTGCTTATATTTATTCTACAGCCATCATCCAATTCAGAGAAAGAGAAGTACTTGTCCTTAAAAATCTGATTTCATTGCAGGGACCCTTGGGACTTCAGGGCTTTTTGAAATCTGGATCGGAACTTTCACATATCAAACCCTTCAGAACTGATGTGTGATGCCTAAGTTAAGCAGTTTTGAAGAATTTTTGTGACAACTGGCTATGAGCATAGTCATCGGAAACAGGAGTTAAATCATTTTTTTGTCTCCTTTGAGTCAGATGCTACTCTTTCTGTATCGCCTCCCTAAGCTGCTTTTTTGTTCTGTTTTATGTTGGCCCTCAGTTCCTACACTGGTTCACATGAACAGCAAGCCCACCAGAATAGGAGACCTTTGGTCTTCTCTGCTTATAAAGCTTTGGGAATATCTGTAATTCTAGGTAAATAAAAGATGCCTACAGGTAGTAGTGATATTTGGCAAGCAGATGATATCTTACAGACAAAGTAAATCGGCTTAAACTTGCTGTCCAAGATATCTGTTCTGATGCAGAAGAAATATCACTTCTGCTAGCAGCTTTATCAGTTCCTTTAACTGCTTCATTTTTATGCTATTCTTTTTATCTGACATTACTGGTTTAGAGTAGTGGCAATAACAGATAAAGTTAAATTCTTATTGTAGAATAGATCCATTACAGGAAACAGGAACAGATCATTTACAGCTTTTTTTATTTTGTCCAGTGGACTAAATCTGTTGTCCCCTTCCCCTAGTTAAGTCAGTTTTATATCTTCCTAATACCCCAAACAGAAAGCAGGTTGTGTATTGTGATAAACATTTTCTTTTGCTTACTATGATTACTATTCTCTTAGAAATGTAATGGGCTTCTATAAATTGTGGAAACAGCCTATAATAATGGCTTATGCTCACCAGAACCTATCAAAGACACTAGTGCTTACCAAGAGCAAAAAAGATTGTGCTATGTAGAGATGTGACACCCCTGAAAACTGTAGAATAATATTCATGAGGTGAGATGAAAATGGTTCCAAAACATGCATTTCTAAATGCCGTATTTGATTTTTCTCAAGCTTTCTGGCAAAAGTACACTGAGATGGAGTCACACCTGTGAAATGTCAAGTCAGTTTGTTTACTTTTGTCGAAGAAGGAAAAAAGAGCTATTAAATTGAAATAATAAGAAAAAAATCTTGGTTTAATGTTAACTATAACGAAATAAGCATGATATACTATTGCAACTCAGTTGTAATGTGACTCCACTCACTAGTTTGATAGGGAGCACTACATATATTGTAGCTTTTGTCATAGATTTGAATTACAATGGATTTAGAAGCTGCAAAATTAATAGTTTGAGGGTTTGGGGGTTTTGTGTTGATTTCTTTTTTCCAGTGTTCAAATTGGCACTCTACCCTTAAGGATTAAACACTTTAACAGTTAAAGCTGGTTAACTGATGTGCAGTCGATATGATTCATTGTTTTGCTCTCTATCAACACACCCACACCAGGTGTCTCAGATAATAGGCTGGGAAACTTGGTAGTGTTGAGGATTTCCTGTCTGCAGATGTGCCAGTTACAATACTGATTGAAGAGAGTCAGCTTGGAGAGTTAGTTAAAAGCAGCCACTATTGTTAACTAGTTGTAGCCTGAATTATAGTGGATGTTTCCTTAACTTTTGTAAAGCACGTCATGGGATTTTAATGGGATTTTGTGAATAATGGTTGAAATACATACTGGCAGTGGCACATAGTTTGAGTTTCGTTCTATCTCCTCACATAGGCCCTTGGAAAAAAATTGTATTGTGTTTCTATGAGGAATTTTATCTTCTGGAATGTGTGATTTTCTGCTTGTATGAATAAGCCAGTAAAAGCAGGCACAGTGCTCTCTTTGCTTTTTTAGTAGCTTCTTTGAACCAGTCAAAATATTTGAGGGGAAAAAAACTCTAATAATCTCATTTTTTTATACCTTTTAATGTAGTTTAAGGGTTTCAATCCAAAACTTTTGTAAGTAACTCTTATAGGCCTGTTATCTTGCAGAGTGGCTATACTGTTATATTACAGACCAGTGAAACAGCTCTTTCTTGACTTGTGTTTGTTTCTGCCTGTCTAATCCTGTAATATCCTTCTGTCTTTTACTACTGCTCTCTTCTGCTTTTGTGAGAATTCTTCTGAAATGATAAAGTTTTAATATTTTTCTTTTCATTCAATGTGGAACCAATAAACTTTTAATATTACATAGTATTGCCCCTGCCCTTAAGGACACATTAATGTGTTAGGTGCCTAATATATGTGAGCTGCAAAGCAGTGGTGAGGGTGTGCATGTACAGACTGAACACAGGGTCTTCATCCAAAGAAAAGGGTAGAGATTGGTGCCTTTATAAACAGATGCAACTGCTGAGTTGCAGGACAAAGTTGCAAAAGACCAAAGTTTGTAGAGTGGGTTTGTTTCAGCTATTGGAGGACTGAAACTTGTGGATTGAATGCTGCAGTTGCAACACAGCTCGTATATAAAAGGAATTGGTGAGTAGTATTTCCAATAGGTGGCAAAAGATCACTGCTGTAACCAGAAGTTGATTATTCACAAAGTCCTTAGAAAAGATACTAGTGGGGTCCTACTGTGCAGAGGAGCAACACTGAATTGGTGATTAAAATACGTAGGTGTTTGCAAAATAACCTAGAATTAGTTTGACAGAGAAAGTGATGTAGTGTGCTAGTAAAACACAGTAGTAGTGTAGTGTGCTGGTAAAACAGAAAGAGCAATGACCAGCAGCAGATTTTAAGTTTAGCTTTGCAAAGAAAGTTTTTTCCCTGATGAGAGCAGCAGAGCAACCATTTTCAAGTTCCATTGCACTCATAAGCTTATAGGAACACCACTTGTCTTTGGAATAATATCACCTTTGCCATGAAAAGAAATTATAACTTTAGCTGAACGGGTATCAGGTGTTGCACATCATGGGCTATCAAGCATTGTCCTTTCTGTCAGACTGGCCCCTTGGCAGATTTATTTTGTAGTGCAGTAAAATAAGATAATCACTGTTCAGTATCAAGAAATGCTTAAGTACGTAACTTTATTTTTAATAGCAGTTTTCTTCAAGTCTTACAACCAAGTCAGTTTGGATTAACTAAGAAAACAGAAATTTTGTTTCAAGATTTTCTTTGAAAAGTCCCATATGGTAAAATATTGCTTTGATCTCCTGTGAGCATCTCTCTGCCAGCCCCTATAGAAAAGGGGATGGGCCTTAGCGCTGTCACTGCAAACAAAGGTCTTTTACCTCTGAACCATTCAGTGAAAAATCATGCACCTTGGTTGATCTCAGACAACTGTTAGAGCTCATGTGTTGTGGTTTGCTGAGGCTCTGGGTCTTTGTTCTGAACTTCCCGTGTCTCTCTCTTATTACTTTTAATTCATTACTGTCTTGGCAAGGTGGTTTTCTGTAATCTTAATGAAAATTGTCATTCCATTATATCAGCCAGTGCTTTTAGGTTGTTTCCCAATATCTAGTTTTAATAACATTCAGTCAGACTTTATTCAACAGGGCTATTTTTAATGTTCTAGTAATTTGTTTGCATTGAAAGAGGCCTGGATGGTACTTTTTCCTTCTTTTGTTTAACATACCCATAAACTTTGAATGTAACTCTTATGCTACTTACTTTACTAGCTGGTAACTATAAAAATCACTTCTTCCTGTTAGGAAAAGTTTAGATGCCTGGCTGTGCCTCTAATCCGTGTGTGAGAGAGTTTTTGGATTCAAACCTGTTTCAGAGTTGATAGATGATGGCTGGCCTTTACCTGAATGGTGGCACACATAAAAATAATGGTGGAAAATGCTCCAAAGTAGTTTCATGAAACCAGTATAATTACTGTGATATTCTCTACAGAATGGAGGTTCTGTTCACCCATGAATGTCCAGGAGATTGACGCCAGTGACTTCACTTGGGAATGTTTGTTGGGTACTATTTTGAGACTACAGAGTCATCACTAAGACTATACAAAACCTTTGGTGAAAGCAAACTTAGTGTGGGAATACTAATGTGAACTGTAGCTGCTTCTCAGAAAATGTTTCCAGCCCACTTTACCTTGTACAGGACCTTGAGAAGAAAACAAATAGAATTGTTAGAATCCTGTCCCATGCTATAAGGTGTTCATTTGGTTACATGTCACTTGGAGTTGCTTTTTTTGTTGTTGTTTGGGTAGGACCAAAGCAACATGTCTCCAGATGCAAGTAACTTCAAATGTACAGTCAATAGTGATGGCTACATATTTACTGAGTCCACCATGGCTGCCACAAGCTTTCTTGTGGCATTTCTGAGTATGACACCTCTGTGTAATAAGTTTTACTAGTCAATGCTACAAGAGATAGTATGGCTTAGCAGGCTTGGCAAAGAACCAGTTACTGCCCTAGCACTGGCTAAGGGTCAGGGTTTTTTCACAGTGAAAGTTTATCAGCAATGAAAGATATATTCAAAACATCCTTGTAAAATTGGTGCATGCTGTTATCAATGTGGTAAGGGTTCTGAACTTATTTTTTACCTTAGTTAATCTTACTGTAGTCAATAATTTCTTGTAATCTGGATGTTAGTTACATGGTAGTGGGTCTTTATTAGTCATTTTCAGCTGGCTATGTTTTAGTGAACAATTTGTGAGTTTTAAGGAGGGATTCTAAGACGGAAGGGGTAGTGGTCCCGAAACTGATTTGGGGAGTGGGTCAGACACATAGAACAAGATGAGAGACAATACGAAGACTGGGAACAGAGGTGAGATTTTGATTAAGGTCAAACTGAAAGTCAGATTATTATGAAGTGGTGTGTCAAAATGCCAGTGTATAGGGAAGAAGTGAAGACTATTGGGCTTAAGTTTTATTCCAGAGAACCATCCTGTCACCCTGCAGTATCCTCGCAGTGGTCACCTTCAGTATGATGCCTGATAATGAATGCTTGGTTGGCTCCAGTTTGGATTTTTCTAATGCTGGGGGGGCAAACAGACATTCTAGCTTGTGATTAAGAAACTGCAGAAGACCCATTATAAAATTCTGCTGTCAGCTGCACTTTTATCACCCTGGCAAACCTTACTGTGTGCAAGACTGCTCTCTCTCATTTACTGCTGCTACTTACTTGACTATGCCTATTCCTACTTCAGTCTCCACTGTTGAAGCTTCTGCACCTGAAGGTCACAGCAACCTGATGCTGTCTTCACCTTATTGTGTGTGCAGGTGTGGTTACCAGTCAGACCCTATCAGCAGATGATGGGACAAGAAAGGCCGCATCACAGCATAACCAGCCTAGCACATGTCTGAGCTGGGTGATTTAAGCAGTCTGTTGCTCTCTGTAGCTAATCTGGCTGGTGGCTCTCTTAGGAATGTTGTTAGATTTTACAAAAACAGATCAAAAAGGTGTTTTTTCTTTTAGAGTTAAAAGTGAATAGGGGCAGGCCCTGAAAGCAGGGATCTGTGTGGGTTTTGCAGCTATGTGGTTAGTGTATGGGTCTATTGATGATGAGACTGTGATGTGGTATTATAAGTGCAGGAGGCAGGTAACATTTTTAAGGGTCGGATTAGAATGATACCTTCCCTCTAGATGCCTGACATAATATCTTGCTGTTTTGAATAAAAGCTAAATTTAGTCCTGTGTCTTATACAGTCATATAGTCCTTGTTCTGTGGCAGTTCCAGGGCAGTGAACATCTTCAACTAAAAGCATGTGTGCTGGCTTTAGTGGGAGGGAGGCAGGGGGCCATCTCTATGTTAAGTGCCTGGTATGATTTGGGATAGTTTTGTACTGTCCTCTTGATTTTTGAAATAAGCTGTAAACTCATGGTTTCTTGAAGCTGTAAAGGTAAAAAACTTAGGAGTTATGGGTATAAAATGTCCTTCTGATCCAATACTGCTGAGAAATTGTGGGAACTGATTCTATAATACAAGTAAAGTGAATGTTGGGAAATACCAGAATTTCCTGAATTTGACATTAAAACTTACCAAGACACGTTGGATAATCATGAACCTAAACTACTGAATTTGAGGTGAAGCAAGATCAGTAAGTGTAATTCTGGCTTATGGAGGTAAGCCAGCATGGGGATGAAGGCCAATAAAGCTTCAATTCAGTGTTTTAAAGTTTAGTTTTTGCTTTCAAAAATAATATTTAGGCAGTAAACGTGAGACAGAAATTTCACTATAAGTAGCACCACAGTTTTTGTAACTCTTAGCTATTAATACCAAGCTGTACACATGTTAAAATAGACTGGAATCGAAAGGTTAAGTGTTAGCCTGCAGATCTGATAAACTCAGCTGTTGTTGTCACAGGTCTTTAAATGACTCTATTGACAGTTTTTTCTTTTTTTCCTCTTTCAGTGCTTGCAATTGCGTGCTAAGCTTTCTCTTGGCTCTGCTTGGCAGGAAAAAGGGGAAACTAGAAAACCCCATTAGTTGTCCATTTGCAGAATATCCAGGCTTTACTCTCAATGCACAAAGAAATACAACGGTAGGAAGTTGTTTCACATCCGAGCCAAGATAAGGTCCTGGAGGTTTATTATTTTTGTTGCCTGATAGCATCAGGACTGGGGAGCAGGGGGCAGAGAAGGAACAGCAGATCAACATCCCATGGGGACAACAGAAGGGAAGACAGACAGATAGCCAAGTGCCGACAGCTTCAGTCAGTACTCCCAGAGGAAGTGTTGGTTTCACCAGATGAAATTAATACACAGAAGTCTTTACAGAGGCATTCAGATGTGACATTGTTTGAGGGGCCTGGCTATATGGCAGATGTATAAAGCAGTGAATCATATGTTTACATATAATTAGGTCTGTATTGACAAGCCAGGTTTTCCTTTTGTTTAATAATTTCCTACATTAACATCAAAGAGCTTGTTTATATAATGAAAACACATTTCCCTTTTAGTTTTGCTTTGCTATAGCTCTGTATTAACATCAAACACAAAATCATGACTCATGCAAAGACCTATATATGTAGATGTAGATATAGCCATGTTCATTTATAACCTCTAAAAACAGATGCAATGTTATAAAATGTCCTTCATTTGGATATGTTCAGGTAATTTTTTCTATGCAATCCTGTGTGTCCCTACAAATCTGGGGAGTACCTGATAATTTCACTGTGCTCATTAACCTTCAAATACATTTGAAAAATTGGATGGGATTTAAAATTCCAATTTCTGAGTCAGGATTTGCTTTGTTAGATACTCTATGGAAAGCTCAGTGTAATGTTAAGGCTTTGGTGGTCCAAGTGGTAACTTTATGCAGAAAACACACCAAAATATTTTTTAAACATGAGATAATTGGAAGTCGTTGGAAGAGGAAGCTGAAATAAAATCTAAGATTGGTGGAATTTACCTCATTTATTTTTAAATCCATCTGACATAGTGTTTCTAAATTCTAGGAATAGTGTTTCTAAACTCTACAGAAACAGCTCGGATAGATACAGAGTTGGAGCTAAATAACTTAGCCTTAAGGACTTGAGAGCAAAGTTGATAAGCTTTTTCATCCAAGCTGAGGGAGCTAAAAAGAGAAGTGTATCAGATAGCAAGAAAAGAGGACTTAAGGAATTTTTAACGTTGAACAGCAGTATTTATTTTTATCCACAAGTATGCACAACAAGCTGTTTGTAAGTATTGAGTGCCATTCAGTTAGCGTTTATTGGACATTTTCAGTGTAGAAGTTGCTTAGTTATTATATATATATTCATGCTACATTAGGAAACTGAATTTAGAACGTGCATCAACTATTAAAGCATATGGGCTTTGCACTTTTTGCAGTGGATGTTGTCCTGCACATTTTTAAAGGATAACTTTCTCTGAAATAGTCTGAGCAAAGGCAATAGTAATAGAGCTCCTTTCACAAGGAAATTCATATCCATACTTTCCACCCTTACAGCTTTTTCAGAATGAGATCAGTTTTGTCATGTTTCTGCCTGGACTGTCAAATAACATGAAATTCTTAGAAACCTGCAGTGGAGGATCCCAGCTTTCTGGATTAAGACTGCTGAAGTTTTCCATTAGTTTTTACCTTTTTTCTTCTTTTTTTTTTTTTCCCCCCTTAAGGCCGAGCTCCTGATGTTAAAACTCTCAATTTGGATGCAGTTGGAGTGAAAACTAATTCTGAAACTGGAAAGATCATTGTTGATGCCAGTGAAGCTACTTCTGTTCCTCACATTTATGCGATTGGAGACATAACAGAGGTACTGAGTCTACATAAACTATTTTACAATAACAGGAAGCCAACTTTGTTCCTGACTAATAACTAGTGCCCAGATGTCGTCATGCTCTAGCATATATCTTCATGTTTTGCTGTTTTCATTTTGCAGAGCTGTAGTGTTTATGCCAGCCACCTGGGTCAGTAATTTCCTTCACATGGATCTTGTGAAGTATCTCAACATTAGGTATTATTACTGATGTTTATCAGGGAATGCATTACTGGTCAGAGGCTAAGAATAATGTCTTTATCAATTCAATTATCTTTCTAATAATGTTTTTATCACTTCAGACATATGACTTCATACTGCCTGTGATTCTTACCTTCTGGAGCTGAATACACTTACTGGGAATGACCATGACAAGTTCCTCTTTTAGTATTTTGAGGGTTAATTGAGACTAGTCCCAAGACAGCATTTCTGCTTCCTGACTAAAGTATCTTCCTCTAGAATAAGAAGAACTAATTGCTGCAAATACTAAATACATTTTACTTCTGTTCATGATTTATGAATGATTATGACAAGTAAACATGAGGTGTGGTGTTTTGGTTTGGGTTTTTTTGTTTGTTTGTTGTCCTTTGATGGTTTGGATTTGTTTTTCCTAAAGGAGAGTACATTATAAGAAGAGCAAAATTATTTATTATAGGTGCAAAACCAGAATTATGTGGCCTTAATCCAGTGCTATTGATAATCTACAATTATTTGTTACAAGAACGTCTTGTCCTCATCAAAGTGCACTCAAATACTTTTAAATCTCTCAGGTTTCAGTTTACAGAAGAACTCGGAGTATCTTCTGAAAGTTGGGCATCTTCAAACATGTTCTCTTCATAAATGTTTGTCTGGATTCTGAACTGTACAGTTACAGGAGGATGTTTTCATCAGCCACCTGCTGTTCCTAAAAAATCAGGGCAATATGTAGAATCTAGAGGCTAGGCATTGCAAGATACAGAATTATTTCACCCATTTTTTTGAACTTAGTGGAATTAAGCACATGCTTTCCTATCAAGATTGGTTTTGATATAGTGAAGGCATCTGTTTTGAAAGTCTGGTAAATCTAACTACTGTAGCAATATCCAAACAGCATATATAGTATAATTTGAGAGACGTTTTAAAGATTTCTTATTATGCAATGTTTAAAATCTTTTAAAGGTCTCTTATATTTATAAACCCTACAGGTGCTCTGAGTTTTTGGAGAGATGCAACAGGTTACATAATGTCTTGGGAATAGCACTGCACATTTCTAACTGAACTCTGGAACTGCCATCTCATAAATTTGATGACCATTCCTGACATCTTTCCCTCTATGTAGACATGTGTTTCTTCCTGTCTGTCTCTGTCTTCATGCGAATGACGTGCCATTTCCTTTTTAAACTGAATTAAAACTCTTTCCTGCTCAGCTATTTCTCCATTTTGTTTTTCTTACTCTCCACAGCTTCTCTGTCCAGTCCAGCCACTCAGAGCTTTGGGATTATGTACAGTTCCTCTCCTTTCTTTTCCCTTCACATACAGGTTCCCTCTGTACTTGTCACTTCTTGCTCTGGGATGTTTCCTGAAGTCCTCTTTCTGCTCACAGTGACCTCCTACACCTGCTTGTCCCTGATACATGCTTTGGTTAGGCCTCCTGCTTTCCAAACTTTTCTTCTTAATTTCATCCAAGAAGCAGTTGTTGGAGGCAATGCTGGCAGGGCCTTGGATGCTGATGCTTATTTTGCTGCCAGTCTGCAGTGTTATTTTGGGCAAGTCATTTCCTTTTGGGTGCTTTTTGTTTTCTGCCCTTTGAGGATTTAGTTAAGTAAGAAATAAAAAGTTGGAGGCAGGATGCTCTTCTCTTTCCTACTCTGGATTTAAAAAATCATGTCTTCATTTATTTGTTATTTTCATTTTGTTGTTAAAACTTGGATTTCCTTTTCCTGCTTTTGTCCTTATTAGTACAGATTTGAATGTGAGTTGTTCAATAGGCACTTCTAAACGTAAGTGTTAAAAACAGCAACACAGTTTTATACTGAGTCCAGGGAACTGGGAGAAGGCTTCAGTTAAGTCAGTGCTCTGGAGAAATATTTTCTTAAGCTTTTATCTGCATATTGGCTTAATACAGGGAATTAAAGAAATCACAGTATAGTACTCATGCATTTATAGAGTTTAAAGATAGAAGGAACTTGTTGCTGTTATCTGACTCCACTACAATGTAAGCCATGAATTCCACTTGCTAAGCAATAAGGTTTACTTTATTTTTTTTTATTTTTATTTTTTTTTTTTTTTAGCAGAATTAATTTAGATAATGAATTTCATTGGCATGGGAACCAGCAGTGAAAGAAAGTCCTGTGCTGGTGCACATGTCAAAGAATACACACAAAAGAATCAAGCGCATCCTGCTAAGAACCACAAAGCTGTAGAGCTTGGTGTATGATACTTTCAGGGTGAGACCTATCAAAAGAGATCAGGAAGGGGAATCTTATTTCCTGTGAATGAGCATCAGTGATTCTTAATGCTGCTTATAAGAATAAGATATATTTTCTCCAATGTTCCTGTTCAGGATTCCTCTTTGCTCTGCTCTCTCCCTGTTAGAGTCTCTTTGCTATCATGAAGTGCTATTGCTCATACCTTTGCAAGTACTTCTCAAGCTCTCCTCCTCCCTTCTTTACCATGCCACACTGAATAGACAGCATACTGCTACCAAATAGCAAGAAGTTCTTTTTTTTTGTTTTAATTGAATGGCCTGACTGGAAGGGGAGTGTGAGAGGAGAAAGGCGAATGCTCAGAATGGCTGTTTTCATTTGGGAGTCATACCCAGCTGGTACAAATGGGAAACTATGTGTGCATAGGTGTCTTGTTGCACCCTTGTATGGCAAATGGAATCCTAATGTTATACAAGCTGTTCATTTGGAGAAAAGGGGGAAAAACAACCATTCCAGAGGTCAGTCACTTTGTCTACCCTCAAAAAAAGTTTTTCAAGCTTTGGTAAAATACTATTTCCAATTGACAGGTGAAATGGCATTTAGACATTTTCATCTTCTGTGATCTGAATGAGGAAGATCAAGCTGGAATTTTAGTTTTAATTTTTTTTCCAGTGCTGATATAAATGCTTTGTGTTAAAATTCTTCCTCCAGTAGTATTCTTGTTGAAAAGCATGGCACACACTATAAAGAAGTTCTCAGAAGGAGGTTTATCGTATGGTCATGTCACTATACATCTGTCATATTTCAAAGGGTGTTATAAAAGATGTGTAGAGAAGGTGGAATGTACAATATGTTGCTTTGAATAGAAATGAGACCAAAAAGAGTTGTGTTAGAACAAATACACATTACTTCAAAGCTTTTTAAACTCTCTTAGGAGCCATCTCGTTTAAATATATAATACATTGGAGGGTTCTTAGGAACAATTCATACCCATAATAATCAGCAGAGTAGTTCTACACATGACTGCAAAGTGAATGTTCATTTCAAATATTTACCAAGGAAGGTCTTTAAGTCATTGTTTATGAGAAATTGGGCTTTATCTGCATGGATGTTTTAGTAATTAGTTGGGTTTTATGGAATGCATGGCAGTGCTTTCACAATTTTATCTCTCGTTCCAATCTTCTATTCATTTCTGGAATGCCAAAACAACATCTGTATTTCCTGCTACAGAAATGATTGGCAGCCATGTTTCGGGCAAATGTGGATAAGAAAAAACAAATGGCAAATTTCATCTGGTAAATGACATTTACAGACTTGAAAGTCAGAATGTTGGATTTGAAAAACCATAACTTGATGGATCTTAGGGTGAAAAAAGGGATAGATTTGCAGTGTTGTGATTTGTCATGAGCTGTGGGGAAAAACAGGTTAGTTTTCATTAACAATTAGAATTATAGTTTCTGTTATAAGGTTAGACATGTTTCAGTTTGGGTTTTTGCAAAGGCATTTTTAAATTAAGTGGTTATTAACACGTATAAAAACATGCATGCATATTAATATGCAGATAATGGATATGGTGTATGTATATTGTAACTAATACTATGTACAGAATCTAGAAAAAGATAAGCTGGGAAAGAGTAAGGGATTCCAGTAAACACTAAAAACCTTCAGGATAATGAAAAAAAAAAAGGTTGAAAAACCTGAATGTGTGTGCTGGGGAATCCTTACTTTATTTTTTGCTGGAGACTATTTTTGGGGGCTTATTGGATTACTACTTCCAAACGGGGCTTTGCAGGAGTGTGACAAGCTGTATGAATCAATACTTCACACATTTTATAAAGCATTCTATATTGTCCCACAAAGGTATTTCGCAGTTACAGTTTTCTTATGTTTCTACGTCATTCCTTCTAGATTTGCAAACTCTTTCATCATCTCAGACAAGCATCTTGATGATACGTCATAGATGAACTCTTAAATACTGGGTTTTACTAGATTTATGAAATTTGTTAGGTCTTATTAATTTGCATGGACTGTTCTTCCTTGAACTTCAAAAACATTCCTATGAAAATGCTTATTTGAATCTGTAAAAACTTCCAGCTTCCTTAGAACTAGCACTGGAGTTCCAATGCTCCAGTGGTATTGTGCCAGCACTCAAAATAAGGGTTCTGGCACACTGCGTAGTCTTCTTTGGATATGAAAGGTAGCTAGGACTCAAGGCTTGAACTGGACCATGTCCTGGTCATATCCTGCTATCATTCCATTTCTCACTTGCAGAAAGTTAGCATTTGCCAGTAGCAATCCTTTTCAAGCCTCTCTTTAATACCACAGTCTGAGACTGGGACCAACTTGACCTATCGCTGCAGTGCTATGAAAGTAGTGTTCCACTGCTCTGATCCAGGACCAACATAGCAAGTCAGTAATAGTACCTACAAATAGCTATTTTTTGTGCCTGTGTTCTGTAAAAATGTGTCAGACAACTTTTTTAAAAGGTCTGATGTTATAAAAACACTGTTGCTTTATACTAGGCTTTTCCTGCTTTAAAAAGACCATCTGAGAAATTTCTTAATGGCTTACTATGGAAAGAAAGGGGGAAGTGAGTGGTTAGCATATGAATATCCTCTGATTTTCCAGAGGTGACATGATAAGATACAAGGTTTTGACACATTCATGGCATTTGTTTCACCCCACACTTCCCCATTAAGATAGATACTGAACTTGCAGACTTAAAAGCATTTTGGACAGAAATTATTACTGCCTTCTCTATTTTGAGTCCTGGCTACCAGGCTGAAATTCCAAAGATTTGGCCTTCCTCTGACCATTGTCCCAGGAGAAATCCTTGGATGCTGCTTCTCTCTTAGCTAAAACAGAGCTTTGTGCTCTCTTCTTAGGGCCGTCCTGAATTAACACCCACAGCAATAGCTGCAGGAAAACTGCTGGCTCGGCGTCTATTTGGCCAGTCTTCAGAATTGATGGACTATGACAATGTAAGTTGTTTCTTTTTTTCAATAACACAAGCCAAATCTTACACTTTTTTTTTTTTAATAATTTTTTTTCCTCTAAATATCTCTAAAGAAAATTGCATTTTGTCATCTGGAATCTAACTTTGACAGTAGCCAAACTAGATGTGCGCGACAGAGCTACACTTCTCAGACACGCGTAAGTCTCCCCTGTGTTTGCTGCTTCATATGGTTCAACAGTAATACTCTCTTTCCTCTCAAATAGGTACCTACCACAGTTTTCACTCCCTTGGAGTATGGTTGTGTTGGACTGTCAGAAGAAGCAGCTGTGCAATGTTATGGAGCAGATAATATTGAGGTATGAAAACATTTTTAATTTTATAGCTGGTTTCTTTAATTCTTTAACTCGCTGACATTTTAGTAAGATATATGTGCAGCACCATTAAATAAGGGTTATGTTCCTTTTAATTGTCAGAATTGCTGGTCACATTTTTTAGTCTAAATTTTTGTGATGTCACCAGAAATATTCACACAAGCTGCTCAGTTCTTCGTGGCTGCGGTTTCTTGATATAATATGCCCGATCATTGCATATTGAGGAAGAAATCCATTATGGCATATATTCACACCCAGCCTTCTGATATGAAGGATTTGATTATGGTACTCATGATGAAGAAATTCACAAACACTATATAATAAGGCAAAATTCAAACAAGTTACCCTTAAAAAGATATGTTGTGTTACCTTTATTCACTCATCAAAGACTGTCAGCATATGACTTGGTTAACAAAATGCAGTAGTTTACTTCCTGTCCAGTCAGTTATTAGTTTTGTCTTTTATGATTCTGAAATAAAGTTTATACTTTAAAAATCTGTCCCAGAACTCTTATCTTGATTTGTTCTCAATTGATCAAGGCAGATAATTGACGCGTGTGTGTCTCATAAGGTGCTCCTGTTATGTATGTGTTGGAAAGCAAGTTCAGCTGATGGATTTAGCTTGGAGCCCCAGGCAAAATCATTAATAAAAAATGATTTAGCGTTTACTATTCAGAATGCAAAAATCACAGTTCAGGTTGTCTTGTCGCATACATTATTATAGATATGGAAAGCTTCTTGGATTTCATTATTTCAGTAAACAAGGTATTAAATTTTTGGGAAAAGGAACAAACTAACACTTTGAAATTGGGACACTAGTTTGAGTAACATGATTGATTATTTGTGATCTATTTTTCAGTTTTGTTTTTAATCTAATGGTACTCTGAGAAAGTTTTGTATTAAACTACTGTGCTTTCCATATTTTTCTTTAAAATAATTAATGGCTTATAAATAAATCAATTTTTTTTCTACAACATTGTAAATATATCATAATAGTAATCATTATAATACTAAAAAGCAGTTTTTTACGTAATAGTACTCTCTAACACAAAATGTTATTGTTTTCCCTACCAGGTATACCATGCGTATTATAAACCTTTAGAGTTTACAGTTGCTGAAAGAGATGCAACTCAATGCTATATAAAAGTGAGTGTTGTGAGCTTTTAACTTGCTTTTAACTGAAAACAAGAGATATGGTACAGCCAGTTTCAAGGAGGACTGTTTGGCAAAAAAAACCCCTCTCAAGATGGATGAGATATTTTCTTGGTGCAACCTGTCTCTAGTGAAACTTCATATGTTTAAAATTCAATACATATCCTACTGCATATTGAAATTGCTTTACAGACACTAGAGTCTTTCAGGGCTGATATTCTGCTGACTGATACCAGCTTTGAACTGCTTTTAAGATGCTAATAAATATTCCAGTTTTTCTAACTATATTTTGTCACATATGATTTGTGTAAATGCCTTAGTAGCTTGCCTCAACTGTCTCAAGTACCAGTGCAGCTAAAGTGATGCTACTTTTTAGCTATTCCCTTTAAATTATGCCAATTAAAGTAAATATTTGAGAGTAAAGTAATAATAGCATAATAATTGCTGGATGATATTGAGTATAGTATGTACTAAACTCCCAAAAGACATGAACAGACATTAAACTTGAGAGTTTCAAACTCTATTGCAAGAGGCTTTTATCTTTAAATCTCAGTATTTAAAGGACCATGTCAAGATTGTTGCTGTTCCTGGGATTTTTAATGAAAGAATCCAAGCCTTTACTGAACAACAGAACCTATTAGATTAGTGATGATTTAATGCTTGATGGGTGGACACAGGGAGAGACTGACTTTCTTGTCATAATTATGAAGATGGTGTCCTTAAAGGAACTAAACAGTTTTCATTAAGTTCTCTAATAAAAGTTAAGTGACTGAGGCCCTCCCTGATACTTATTAACTCACCTTCATCTTTGGCTGCTTCCAAGCCTTGACTCCTTTTTAGGTTATGTGGCTGATGTGGTAAATGTATCTCACCAAACATACTGCTGTAAGTGTTTACTGACTGAATCACAAAGGCACAAAATATCCTATAATTGGTAGTGGTCATCTTTGGAAATACAGCTGGTTAGCTGGTGAGAATAAGTGGACAGGCTTGGAGAATTGCTAAGGTGGCCACTGAGTGTCAAAATAACACTAGTCTGGTTACTAGACTACAGAAGGTATTTTGAGGATTTCATACAAATGACAACAAAGTATTCAATTTACCACAAATTACCATTGTCAGTGGCTCCCTGAAGTCTGAAAGAAATACAGTAATAAAGCTTTGATTCAGGAAAGTGCTTAAGGACAAGCATAAGGCCTGTTGAAGTCAGTAAGTCCTAAGCAAGTGCGTAAGTTCTTGGCATGCTGGAATAAACAGCTGAACTAGGATCTCAGGGCACTTCAGTTTCATTTAATTCAGCTTCATGCCTTATCTTTAAATGTTCTAAGAAAAGATCTCTATGTAATGTATTGTTTTCAGATGGTGTGCTTACGAGAGAGGGAGCAACGAATACTTGGCCTTCATTTCATTGGACCAAATGCAGGCGAAGTTATTCAAGGATTTGCTCTTGGAATCAAGTAAGTACAAAAGAATGTCTCTAGCTTCTAAAGCCTGCTTTTTAAGTTATTGTAAGATTATAAAAGATAGCTGCTTAGTTTTGGCAACACTATAAAGAATCCATGATTTCTGTTATTTTTATGTAGTATTGCACATATTTTCACTAAAAATACTTCAGTTCTTCATTAAGATGTACTGGATTTAGTTACTGCAATACTGGATATAGTTAAGGAGCAACTGAGGAAAATACATCGTTGGCTTGATATAACAAAAAATAAAACTGTGCATTAACTTACTAGTGTTAGTTTTCTCAGGGTGTAGCTTCTTTTGCATTCTATGCACAGGATAGGAAATCACCATATAGTTTTGCAAGTCACTTCTTTAAAAGGATGTTTGTGCTATTCAAAAAACCCCTTTCTTTACACCTGCCAAGCATTTTCTTTCTTTCTTAATCTCATCTTTAAATGCACGCAGCCATTGCTCATCAAAAGCTCAGCAAGGACTTGCATGAATTTTTGTATTTCTGGGTTATAAGGTAACCATAATATGTTAAGGTAAGAAAGAAACCTCTGTAGGCTGATGGAAGGAGGAAGATACTTCTGTCTGGAGCTATCTTATAATTGCAGTAACAAGCTTGCCCAAGTAGGTGAACCTGTGTGATTTGATCTTGTTTAAGATTTTGCTCAAATACTGATGTAAAAGTCCTCCCTTTGAAGGAATAAGGAATGATTCTGGGTCTTGTCTGCTTAAATGTAGAATTCCTACTATGCCTCTTGTGTACTACAATTATTTCTTATTTGGTTTTTCATTCTCTTCTTAATGCTGATTCACATCTTCAGAAATGTTGATTCGTATATTTATATTACTAAATTATAGTTTTTAACTCCTCTTTGAAGAAAGCAGGCTGGGACACATGAAATCAACCCTAATTGTGGTGTATGTTAATTTTCCTAAATATCATCATCATTTTATTGCAGTTTTAGTCTTACAGTTGTGAGTGACTAGCATAAATGAAAAGCAGAAACGATTAAGAAGGCAGGACCGCAAGTATCATGTGAGGAATATGTTGGAAATCACTGATTGCAGTGTGCCCTCAGTACACATTTTCAACATGTGTTTGTAGTCCATTAATTGCCAGTGGTATAGATTCTAGAACTACATTTTTTAGGCTGTCATTGTTTTGAAGTTTTATCCAAAATAACCAGTGAAAAGGAAGCACATGAAACTGGAGTGCTTTTCTGCCTTGCCTGAGGGAAATTAAAACTTTAGCCACAGTAAGAGGTTTTCAGCAGGTCAGATTCTTGTATTGGTTTCTATTTATTTCACAAATCCAGAGTTTTCAATGTGGAACACCCACTAAAAGAGCTGGTGTTCTCCTTTGTCAAATATTAAGTCTTACTTCGGCCTCTCCAAAGGATGACTTTCCATCTTCCCTCCCCACTTAGCACTCCAGTAACATCTGTGCTCAGCAGCGATTTTCTGCTTGTTGGTGCTTTTTTGGATGTAGGAGGAGAAGACATCTATGAAGACAGAAGACTTCTCTCTATTTTGTAGAAGGAGAGAACATTATTCCACTGAGAGATTGAAACAATTCTTAAATTTAGGGCCATTTCAGCTATTCTTACAGTATGACCTGCCAGGAATAGCAGCCCGAAGGAAAGTCATCAAGTCTAAAAATGTTATTGGACATGTAAAGGAATTAAGCTAGTGGGATTGTAGCTCCAGGTTTTTTGGTGGGGTTTTGTTTTGTTTTTTTCAAAGAAAGACCTTTTCCTTCTGCTTATGTTATTGATAATTTCAGTTTAAGCCCCAGACTTTCTCTAAGATCACGGAAGAATATTCAAATATCACTTCCTTCAGCAGATTCTTTACAGCCGTCCAAATTATGATTTTCTTACTCTGTGTGTATGTGTGTGTTTTTCCATCTGGAGTCAGAGTTAGGGAAACACACATGTATGTACAAGAAAAGCTGAAGGCTGCAGTTTTGTCACATGTTTTTGCCACAGACTCAGTTGTGACTTGGATAAATTGCTTAATTCTCTCTGTCTCAACTCTTATGACAATTCTTCCCTACCTAACAGTGTTGTGAAGCTGGGCGTTTAAATGTTGTTGTGTAAGTGACTGAGAAATAATAGACGGTATTGTTTGAAGAACAAACGAACTCCTCTACTGATAAAATGGATAAGAGCAGAATTACTTTGAAGTCTTAGGACATTCTTGCTGCTTCAGGTGAATATTGTTTGACTTTGTGAATCTTTGGTTTGGTTTCTAGCCTTTTTTTTTTTTTGTAGATGTGGTGCTACATATCCTCAGCTGATGAAGACAGTTGGCATTCACCCTACCTGTGCTGAAGAAATTACCAAATTGCACATTACAAAGCGTTCTGGCTTGGATGCAACAGTTACAGGCTGCTGAGGTTAAATACCATCCCTGGAAGGAAGGAAAATAAGCACAAAATATATTTGTAAAGAAAAGGGGCACTTAGAGTTCGGAACAGTTTTAATGGTTCAAATTCCAGGAATCTTTTCTTGTTCTCCCTGTAGACAGTTTTTTCTTTCAGCCAGACAAAGAAATTGTCCTCACACCATCTCAGTTCTAAAACCAATTCAGTCCTGCTATAACAAATCTCTATTTCAAAGTGCCTATAACCGTTATCTTGCTGGAGCCAGGAATAATCACAGTTTTGTATATGTAAATATAACTGAAACCAGTGATATCTGAAGCCATCTGCAAATGAAGCCACTGTCATTTGAGTTTTTCTGTTAGTATGACTGAGTGCCAACAGCAGCATCTCACATAATATTCATACAGATGCTAGGAACTGGTCAGGGCCTTCCTTAGGATTTTGGTCATGGGACTTTCTCCTAAGTGCATGGATAGCTCATTACCAATCCTAATCTTGAACACTGAGACTGTACTCACTAGTAGAAACAAGTTCCCAGAGTGTGTAACAATGAGTTAGCAGTTATCTTTGGGTGTTTTCTTTAAAATGTAATATTTACAGGAACTTAATAGAAAATCGCTTATCACTGAAGCTGTGCTGCTACTGGATGAATCCCAATGGATTAATCGGTGGCAGCCTCGTCATGACATTATGGTGATGGCTGAGAATGAATGAGCTCAGAGGTGCTAAAGACAGAGTTGAATTTTATGGTGACTTCTCTGCCTACTCTTGAAGTTTCTAATTCAGTTCAATTCAAATTGACACACCTCACAAATTACTGCTTGAACACCATCTATTAAGCAATGCTGACAAGCAGAATCAAACCCACTAATAATCCAATTCATGCCGCATTTTCTGTTTTATAGGATGCGGAAATCTGGCTGACACAGTGATATATTTGTTGGTTTGTTTGTTAAGATTTTCTCACTGATGAGGTGGGTACTGATTCTGAATGGATTTAGGTCTGGCTTTAATAAAACATGTTACTGAAGGGAACTATATTAAACAGTGATCTAGAAAATAAATGGTCCTGCCCAGAATAAAGATGGAAAATGTATAGCTGCAAACTTGGGTTTTTAAGCATCGACCAGAGTAAGAAAGCATTAATCTGTTGCAAAGTTCTGCTTATTTTCCTGCTATCCAGGAGGGGGAGATGCTGGCTAATTTGTAGCAACAGAAACAGAAATCTGAGAGTGAAGCTTCTCTTACAGGACTCTCTTAAATAAGTAGCCTGACAAAGTGAAACAAACTGCTCTGAATTTTCAGTCCCAGTTGCAGTTGTCAGCTTTTTATATGCATAGTCACGTATTTCTTGCACCCTTTACAGTGGAACAGTGCATGTAGGAAAAGATCAGCTTGAGGTGAAACAAATGCATCCTTTTTGCAGTTAATTCCTATCGGTGTTTTTGAGTGTGGAATTTGGTATTTCCATAGCTGTCCTGCTTGTTGCGCAGTTTGGAAGAATAGTCTGATGATTGTATATATATTTGCTATTTTTAATTTGATTGCCATTTCCACTGCTGCAGCAGGCAACACAGGCAAATGGTTGGTTTCTTTCAAGGGTGGTATCTTTTTTACTATGATAAAGAAATCATAGTAAAACTGAGAAACCAGTAGACAAATAGCGATCAGAATTTCCTTCTAAAATGTGATGTAACAGCATTTATCACACTGTCACTGATAATAGAATACTGCATTTCCAAAGATTTGTTCTGACTTAACAACAAAAGGAATCTTAAATGCTTTCTTTATGAAGTTTCCTGATTTGTGGTCCATATTTCTGGCCCATGAAAGAGGAAGGAGTGATACTATTTGACTGCAGGTGGCATTCCCTATGAGATCTGCTGATGCTATTTTTCATCTGTGAAGTCATACATAAGGTTGTAGTTGTATAAAGAAGTTCTTTGAGTGGAAGTGTTGTTGAAACACTACCTGAATATTGCAACTGCCTTTAGAAGAAATTATGAAAAATTTATATCTGTATATAAGATATATATACATATATATATACGTATGCATTCAGAAGTTGGTTCCCCTTATTAAAGATCTTCTGTGTGTGATAATGCCAAAAACCCTACCAGATTTTTCAACTGTTTATATATATATATAAAAAAAAGTTCATAGTAAATTGGGCTTTTAAATTGTTTTACTTAATATTTCAAAACTTTGAGATACTGAGCATTGCAGCCTACAGAGATTTTACTGTCAGAAACATCCCGCCTCTGACCAAACTGTAATGTCTATGCATGCAAGATTATTTTTTTCCTAGTGGTTGCCTATTACATTTCTTTTTGTACCCATAAACGAAAACATTGGTGTTTAGCCATGTGTGAGTTGCTTCCCTTCTCTGTCCTACCAGTGCATCCAGCAGACTGAGGTGTCTGCTGCTACAGACAGATCAATGGAAAGATGAGTTAATTTCATTCACCATAATGTTCCAAATAATGATTTGGGACAAGAAGTAGAGAGATCTCAAGGAAACGTGTCCTCGGTGTATGTGGGGTTTGAAACTAAGGCATGTCATCATTCTCAAGAGTAATAGATCTGTATTGGTTTTAGAACTGCTGAGTGGTCTGCATGAAAATTGATCCTGGATCTTGAACAGCAACCTAGTTCTGTTCCTCATTTGCTGGAAAATGTTGTTGCCCCCGATGTAAAACTAAACATAGATTCACACCTACACAACCCTAATGTCAGCATCAACAGCAAGACAGAATAATGACAGCTACTGTGACTGTGCTTTTTTTCCTGAAGGTTTCACTAGGGATGGTCCTTAAGAATTGTTTTTTTTAAAGCCTGACTGACGTAAATTGAAATGGCTGATGTACACTGCAAATCACAGACTATATGTGAAAATGGTAAAAAAAGAAATTAGAAAATACAGACAGGCTTCTTCTCGGGATGCCAGCTGATGAGGGCTTGTTTGTCAAACCACCCCGTGGTGCAAACAAGTCTGAGCATTGCTGGGTCCCTCATATGTGTGATCCCAGTATTTATTGTGTTGTGAATTAATGAATTAATAAAGATATTTTTTTCTAGTAAATGCTTGAATGTATTTGTTTGATTTTGTACATATGACTTATGCTGACAAAAGATTTCTTTTTTGATCTTAATACTGTTTCTCTTGGTTGAGATATTTGTTAAGGAAATAAAGAAGTAGACAGACCTTTTAATAAGGAAATGTTGATACCTCTCTGATGTGTAAACTGAATAGCCATGAAGATTATTTCAGGCTGGATGACCTTCCTATTTTAAATTTAAACTAAGAGAATCTCTAGACTTGGTAAGTACAGTTTCAAATACTCTCCTGTTTATTCCAGCTAATGAGGTCTAAGAGGTATTTTCACAGTCCATACGTGCTGACATGCTTCTTGAAGATTTGTCAAGATAAACTCCTTTGAAATACCGTGCAGTCAGAGTATTACACAACGACTATATACTGTATTCTACAGTAGCTATTCACTTTGGGTTTTTAACTAGAACATGTAGTGGAAAAGCATTGCAGCACAGCTAATTAGTAGCTATGGGTACTGCTGTGTAAAAGTATTGGAAAATGAATTGGGAAATGACTAGCAAAATGTATTTTAAAACTCTGGGAAACTTCTCTGTCAGAAAAGAAAGGGACTACATTGTTTGAATTCATGTCAGTTTTATTTCTTTAAATCCACTTATTTTGATAAGAAGTTTCCATTAAGTCAGGTGATGCTGAGCTTCTGAAACAGGCTAGTTTAATATTACCTCAGTATATGCCCTGGATTTGATGCTGAGAAGGAATATTGACTTTATTATATTTAAAGGCATGTTTACTTCTGCATTTTTAATCTGTTTTAATTTTCTGGAATATTTCATTGCAGGTTCTAACTAATTAGGGTAGCTAGAAACAGTGGCTAAAAAAGGTAAGCATAATTTCTAATATTTTTTTTTTGTTATTCCTTATTTTCATGTACCATTTAATCAGAGATTCATAGAATGGTTTGGGTTAGAAGGGACCTTAAAGCTCATCTAGTTACAACCCCCTGTCACATGCCACTGCCCCCCCCTGCCACCTTCCACTAGACCAGGTTCCTTCTACCTGTGCCAGCGCCTCACCACCCTCAAAATAAAGAACTTCTTTAATCTAATCCAAATCTACCTTCTTTCAATTTAAAACCATTCCCCCTTCTCCTGTCACTACATGCCCTTGTAAGAAGTCCCTCTCCAGCAATAAATTCCCTTTTTGTACTGAAAGGCTGCTGTAAGGTGTCCCCTCTTCGCAAGGTTGAACAACCCCAACTCTCTCAGCCTTTCTTCACAGGAGAGGTGCTTCAGCCATCTGATCATCTTCATGGCCCTTCTTTGGAGTTGAATACACTGCACTATTTATATTATACCTAATGGTAGCTTGTTCTCAATGCTAATGTATTATGTACAATTAAGTTTTGCTTTTTCCCATCTATGCATGCACTGTATGTCATTATACCTACTGGAAAATGTTTCTGCAGTTTAGATTATTCCAGACCAGGAGCTGGAAAAGATATTTCTGTTTGCTAGCACACTTACTCAGGTAAAAATCTAGATGCCATAGTGCAATGTATTTCTAATGAGAATAGTTGCATGTACAGACTTTTGAGTTTGAAGGTTTTCTTCAGAGGCTCATGACTATCCAACAAAGTAGGCAATTTTTTGCCCATACAAATTGCCATTTGTCTAAATCTCAGTGAAATCAATGTACTCAAATGTTAGCCATTAATTTCAGTGGGATGCAAGTATGTGTCTTAAGTGCTTTGTTAAAGGGGAATCAATATAAGCATATGCCAAAATGTCTTTCATTATTACAGTTGGGGAACAGACTGCAATTATGATTTAAAACATAAAAGGTACAATAGACATCTATGATTAGGCAATGAAATATGCCTTTAATAAGCATAGTGCAGACAGTTTGTTTTGCAATAAGTAAACTTGTATAAAATTCATTGACTTTTTCATTCTTTCA